AAACACACACAAACAAACACACACAAACAAACACACACACACACACAAACAAACACACACACACACACAAACACACACAAACAAACAAACAAACAAACAAACAAACAAACAAACAAACAAACAAAAACAAACACACAAGCAAACAAACAAATATCCATCCCTCCATCCAGCCAAACGGACAGACAGACATACATACACACATACTTACATACATGCGTAATTAATTACTTACATACATACATACTTACATGCCTACACATACATATATGAATATATTTCATGTCTTTATGCCTCATAAACGCATGCATGCATGCATGCATGCATGCATGCATGCATACAAACAAACATCCACATTCCGGGCACATACACATACACACAATCGCCCATCTATCCCTCCGTCTGTCCGTCCATCCGTCCGTCCATGCATGCGTGCGAGCATGCCTGCATCCACACACACGTTGAGAACTCTTGCTACGTATAACGTAAAGAAATAGATATGCCTATGTAGTGTTACAGAAATACCCTAACTCCCCAGGTACCTACTATATAGGGTACTAGAGCCCCTATGGCCCTATATAGTAGGTACAGTACCTGGAGGGTTAGGGATAGTACATGAGACTGATTTGTTTTCCCTCCCGCCTGGCTAGGACGAACCTACGATGCAGGGTCTATCATGGCAACATGAGACTGATCAGCATCCAATGAAGGACTGGACACTCGGAAGATCCGCGCCAGTCGAGGGAGATCCGCTGGGCCTCGGACAGAGCTCCCAAAACGATGCCCCAACCCCTTTTGTTTGGGTTTAGGGTTTAGGGTTTAGGGTTTAGGGTTTAAGGCTACAGTTCATGATCTTACCCTAACCCCGAACACAACGGCGCTTGGTTGGAACAGGTTTCGGACTTGTGAATTTCGACTCTCACTCTGGCGCAGGGCAGGCAAGGCTCCACATGGTTCCGTCACGCAAGACGACTCCCGGGTTTGGGGGCTAGAGGGGGGGGAGGGTTTTGGAACAGAAGTACAGGGTTCTTGGGCTTCTACGCTGCTGACAAGAGGACAACAAGGGTTACTTTATGGTGTTGAGGTTTAGGGTGGTGTGTTTTGCAGCTTTACGTGAAACGTACCACTCCTTGGTAAATTCGAGTCTTCGGTACTTCCACAGCTCTGTGGGCAGACAGTAGAACGTGCCAGAAGCTCGGTAGAAACGAAGGCCCCCCGTGATGAGGCTGCAGATTCAATCGGAAACTGGCAGTGCATGGTGGAGGTGCGGGTTGTGGGTATGTAGCATGACTGAAGAGACAACAGCTGCTCAGAGTAGGCCATAACTATAAACACCAGGAGCCAAACTCGAGCGACTGAGTTGTTGCACAGTTATAACAGTTAAGAGCAGGAGATGAGACTTGGCCAAGCCGTAATGCCAAGTGCATGCTCATGGCCGCATTTTATGACATGTTGCTTGATGCAAGAACAACTTCGGAATAAAACCACCGAATCATGTGTTTAGCCAAGGCATCCCGATGTCACCTCGTTAAAGAACAAGATACGCACATAGTGACAACCCCGAAGTCTCACGACTGTTGCAGGGACCCGGCAGCATGGGCAGCACATACACATGCGGCATCCCACAGCTAAATCGACCATCAGCCGAACCAAATGCTCTCTGAGCCGAGATAATTATTATGAACCCGTCGATATTCGAAATTCTTACTAGTAGAGCCTGTAGCTCATCAAGGTTGCGAAACTTTCTTCCCAGCCCTGCGTAAACCGATTCTTGTAGGCCTTCTAGATCTTCAACATAGCAACTGTTGTAGGTTTTTGGTTAACCCTAAACCACTAATGGGCTTAGGGTTTCGACTGGGTTACTGGGTTTAGGGTCAGGCCAGGGTGCGGCGCAGGCGACTGCCGGCCTCGGATCTCAACTTCTTAGGTCCACGTGGCACAGGATAGGCTTAGAATACGGTTGTGGCATGACCATGTGCAGCTAAACATAATTCTCAAAGGAACCCTGAGGAATACTGTTGGTAACTTTTCAGGCTTCTGAATTTGGGCGAGAATGTAATCGAGTGTATGGGCGGATACTACGCGGTCAGTCGTGAAACCCAAAGGAGCCCTCCACGAATCTTGAGTGCGGATGTGGAAAGGCTGAAGAAGCACATCGTCCTGTCTGCCCTGCAGCCGTTTGGCCTTTTTTGGCCTGCTTCCTTCGCTCCCTCTGCTTCTCCAGCTCCTCTTGCTCCTGCGAAGCTCATTGAGACAGCTCTTGCGAGATGGCATTGCTGCAATCTTCGAGCATGTAACCCACATGTGCTCCCTAAACGTGCTGGACACTGCGTGCTGCATTTTTTGCATCGAAATCCCCCTTGCCCCTGTCTAATGTGCAGGAAAGGTGCCCACCACTTACGGGCGAGGCACTAGGAAGAGCGTTTAATCCTCACGAGCCATGAGCTTTACCAAGGTGGGCTCCAGGCAGACGATGCCGAGGATGCAGCCAAGGAGGAGCACAGCGTCGTTGCCTGCTTTCACATGGATGTGCATGTGTGGGTCGCTCCGGCGGATGCTTGCAATCTTCTGCTTGGGATCCTGGAGAGGGACGATGGAGAAGTTCAGGGGCCCTTCTTCGGTCTTGAACTCTGCGCATGGCTTCTGCATGTGGTAGAAGACCACCCCACCCTGGACTCCTCGTGCAACCTTGCCAAAATAGCTTCCGTTCTCGGAATAGACGGTCATCAGGACATCGGTCGCCGTGGACGCACCTCGAAGAAGCACACCTGGCCCGTCTGCGTGAACAGACTTGATCTTCATCATGCGACCCTCTGACAAAGTCACTGTCAGCAAGGTGATGTTCTTCTCGCTTTGGATGGGGAAGGTAGCTCTCTGATCGTCCACGACTTGGGCCACTTCCAAGCGAAATTGATGGTCTGTTTGCTGTTCACGCTGGAAGTGTGGGCACAAGATGGGAACTGGAACGATCTCCCCGGATTTGGTCATGCTCCTGGCTTTGGAGCCTGGCATCTCCGGCTGGTCGAAGGTCTCTTGAGCCATGGACATCTTGTAGAGGACTCCAAGGAGCAGGATGATCAAGATGGTGACGGTAAGGTCTACAAAAACGCTCTGGGCATTGAGGCCAGTAAGGCTGCTGCTTGCAACGGCCGCGGCTTGGAGGGAACGCCCGGCCTCGCTCTGGGCCAAAGCCACATGAGATTGATTCTCTGTAGCATTGGAGGCCAGGACACTCCGGTTCGACACAACCTCATCCACTTGCGACACGTTCTGGTGCACTTGCAGAAGCCACAAGTCTGTCTGCTCGATGTCATCTGCATCGCTGCCCCTGCTGCATGCGGATTCTCCTGCACATTCCTGGGCAAGGCCCGTGCAGACTGCAGCCGCCAACCAAATCGCCAACATCTGCAAATGCACGGTAGAAACCATTATCAGATTACTTGAGCATAACTCCCTGCGGTGGACCGTGGATAGCGACAGACCGGAGCAAATCTCTTGCACAAACCAAAGACAGACTGCAGTTGTGAGCTTCCGACAAGCATTTGCACATGTCCAACAGTGCCGATCCGATTGTCGGGGATGGGAAAAGTGCTCTTGCACTCTTGCACTGCTTGTATTCGCCAACGTTGTCGAACACAAAACACGGAGTTGATACTGGCTCGCAGCGCCATGCTTGACCCGGTCCTTGGCTTGTTCCTGGCGGAGGTGGAGCACATGTACATTCTGCATATATGCCGGTGTGTCACTACAAACCATGCCTCCTGATGAACGTTAGAGGCCAATGCAAAGCACTGCAGCGCCAAAATTGAAAAGAAATGCCACTAACTAACTCTGAGTGAAGCTGCCCTTCCACATGCCAACACATGGAGGTCGGGTTACCCAGCAGGCTCCGACATATATGTCGCGGCCAATCCATGCGCCCTAAACTGCATCAGGAACCTCACGCGCATCCAACATCTACATACAACAAGCAGCGCTCCAACACCAATAACATTACCATGCAGCCACGGCAGCAAGAAGTAGTGGGAGCGCCAAGGGAATCAAGATCTATCAACTCCAAAAGCGCCAAGCGATCCTATTGAGTCTGAAGCAAACCGATTGCAGTTAGAATACTTCAGGCTCTGAACAATTACGGACAGACATGATCACAGGTAACAGCGGTAAATAGCAATAAGCATAAAACGGCACTCATACCTGATGATAGCTGGTCTTCATCAAAGCAATACGGTCTCTGAGACCCTGGGTTTGGGTGCAAAGGAGGCACGGGGCGAAAAAAACAAAGCACAATTAAAAAATAGCAGAAGCAGAAATACTAGCGTTTCGACCACCTAGGAACACCAGGTCGCTCGCTCCACTACGCTGAGCTTGCATCTTACAGGGGCGCGCCACGGTTAACTTGTCAGTATTTCAATATGCATCAAACCTTGCATGAGCAGCCGAAGCATTGAAGCGTGGCTGTCATTCTCACCGTTTTTCCCCGATCGCCCTGAGGAGCACCGTTGAAAGGACGTTCATGCTTTGTTCACCCCCCCCCTCCACGAGAAGCCCCTAAAAAGAGTTCTCTGCCTCGAGAAACTTTCAAGATAACTGGGAACACTCGAAACTTCACTTGAGTATCAGAGAGCTCGATCGTCATATACGGTCGCAGCACTGGGACCACAAACGCTGTGGTCGAGGAAGCACAGACTGAGACGAGTAAGTAGCAATATCTTGGGAGTCAGAATCATTGTCAGAACATAGTAGAAGAAGAGGGTTTTAAACACCAGCAAAGGGTTATCAAAAACCCTCATTGTCAGGATACATCTAAACCCACAACTACCAGAAGAAGAGGGCTTTTAATCAACAGCCTCATTGTCAGGATACATCTAAACCCATAACTACTGTTTCGCAACCGTACGATATCAACCCCCTCGCCTCGGCAGCCTTCATTCGCAGCTGTACGCGGCTCAACCTCGCCGGAAGGGGCGATAAAAGTTGGTGTTTCCGGAATTAGATGGGAATGCTATATAGTGTCAGTGAATAGCATGTTGTAGTATTCTGTAAGTACGACAAGGAACCCTAAAGAATGATCTGGCTAAAGTTTCAGGCTACGGCGTATGACAAGGAATTGACACCGGGCTTTGGGATATGTTGTAGTGCAAGTGCATGATGACTATATAGACATATTGCTGTAACTGCTATTGCTAACTGTTCCGACTCTCACATGTCAGGACTCGAGACTGCTGACGCCAGGAAATAATTAAACAAAACCAATGCCAGCACCAATGTGGCAGCTTCGTTGATGAGATCTTTCGCGTGCATACTAGACCCTAAGCGCTTGATTGAGCCCCTGTAGAGCCGTTCTAGAACCCGTATATGTTATGATTCATTAATCGCTTATCCTCAACACTCAACCCAAAACTGCTAAATCCTTAACCCCTAAATCCCTAAAGCCCTAAGCCCGTAAACCCGGAAGGGTCAAAAACGCCCAGCAGCAGCGAAGACACGGCGAAGGCCGCCGCTTCCTCCGCGAGTTCCTCTCGCAGGTGCAAACGCCACAAATTACAAGGTTGAGTTTGTTTTTTAATGCTTCGGCTCTCACACTTGGACACTGCAGGCGAGGCTTGTGGTCTGAAGTCGGCTTGGTGAAACTAATCCAAGAAAAAACTGACCCTAAACAGTAAACCCTGTCAAAAGAGTTGTCCTGTGCTGATGCTTAGGGTTTTTAGGGTGTAGGGCTTTGGTCTTTGCTTTAGTGTTTATAAGGTTTAGGGTTTCAGGGTGTTGGGTGTAGGTTTTGTTGGGTTTAGGGTTTTCTTGCCTCCTGCATTGCCGATGGAGCCACTAGGGGTTTAGGGTCTTCCTTCGGCTGTACGCGCGTTGTTTGGGATTAGGAAGCGAGATAGGGTTGTTTAAGAGTGCATATTGGAGGTCCTATTTCTTGGAGGAGGGGGGGGGTCCCCATACTGAAGAAAAACACTTACACGGATTGAGAAATTGGAGGAATAGTGGCCGTACCCTAGGGCCCTAGGGCTCCGGCTGCCTACATGAACGGGTTACTGGGGTGCGTCACACAGATACTTGATACCGTGCCCACCATGCGGCACCATCCTTTGGCATGAATGGTGTAAGATGGCATATCATACAAAAATGATGATAGGAGTATACTACAGTACATTCTATTCTAATCTATTCTGTTCTGCTCGGTTTTTTATGACATTACGTTGGCATCGCGGCACAGTTGCATTATGGTTTGTTTCGTTACAGTACACTTGCATTATATCAAAACATGTTCTATTGCACTACGCCTTGTAAGACATGATACTCTGTGATATGATATGACTTTATCTTGTATGAGGTGACTCGTTAGCTGCAGCAAGATTCACTGCTTTACATTTTGTATCTCTACAGTATCTGTAAGTATCTCTTCTAATGACATGGAGCATGCCAAAAACTCTGCAGGCAACGGCCGTATATGGTCTTGGAGACCCAATGCTAGAAATCGCTCGCCAACATAAAACGGCCGGTTTTGAGATGGCGTCACAGTAACAGGGCGCCTTAATGTTTCGAGCATCTTGTCTTAACGCATGTTATACGAAAAATGGTTATACCCTTTGGCCCGAAGGAATAACGACCTACTGAACCGACCCCTATTTTAAATGGCTGGGACACAGTATGTAACAAGTCCCACAAGGTGGGAGCTCGTGTTCAGCGGTCTAGGGTTTAGGGAGGGATAGGGTTTAGGGTTTCTTCGTGGACGAGTGAAACATGACACACGCAGATATTCGGTCCCGCTCGCTGCCGAAGACATTGATGCCCTGCAGGCAGTCGCAAAAGGGAAACTGCATTTGCAGCGGCCAGGAAGGCAACACACACACACGCGCTCACACTTCTTTTGGGAAGCTGTTTCATCTAGACTTCCCATACGTCACAACTTCACAAGCCGCTGATGCATCTCATCCAGAAGCAGCCGTGGTCTCAGATTCCCAAACAGGCGATTTACCCAAAGAGTCCACTGTTACGGGGGATACTTGCCCAAATCATACTAGTAACTCCAAATATAGAAACCCTCTCTCTATATATATATATATATATATATATGTACTTTGGACCCTTTGGGTTAGGATCAGGGCCCACCCCCCGCCCGTCTGCTCCTGGAGGCGGCGCGGCGGATTGACCGGCGGGGTCGGCGACTGCGTTCGGATCCGCTCCTGGCAGAGGCGGAGCCTCAGTGCAGGGAGCGAGGACAGGGCGAGACAGCTCTTGCCGTATTGGTAGTATCACTATCGTTAAAACTCTTAATACTGTTAGTACGTATGCTTAATGTTACTGTTATTCTTGATTATTATTATTGTTGTTGTTGCTATTATTTTGTAGAGGTCGGTGGCGTTGAGCGAATGACATCGTTCTTCAGGATCCCTCAGGATTTTGATATCTGCCATCCACCCAAGAGCCTCGACGTTCACGCCCCACTCCAGCGGCTTCCCTGAAATAGTCTATGAATCCGAAGCTGCGCTTTTCGTCCGATCTGGTATCCAACTTTACACGCATCACCCGGGGAAGGCTTCCAGCTCGCTGACTCCAACATTGCCTTTAACTTTACCCCCGTGCGGATGCCAAACAAATCCATGTAGCAACCGACGCTGAAACCCCAACCGTGATCGAAGTTCTGAAACCTGGGACACACACAGAGGTCTCCCTGTAGCTTGTCAGAAAGATGGCCCCGCCCCCCTTTTCTTGAGATCTAAGCCCTACAGTCCTACAGTATCAACCACAACAGCCCCAGGCCCCGAAAATCCACCCAAAAAGCCCTCAACCCTAAGCCTCAATCCTAAATCCTTTATACCCCAAGCCCTACCTCCTACTGCGTACATCCTACTACACTTCTCGCCTGGGCCAATGCTGTCCCAGAGGCTCGGCCTGAGTGACGTTGAGCAGCGCCTTTGCTTCCGAGGTGTATGGGGCTTGTTGCTCATTATAGGGTTTCGGCTCTCACACTCGGACTTATAGGGTTTCGGCGCTCACACTCGGACCTAAGCCCTAAACCCTAAACCCTATAAACCGTTTTCCCTAGACCCTATATAAGCCCTAAACCCCAAACCCTATAAACCGTGTTTGCCTAAACCCTATATAAGCCCCAAACCCTAAACCCTAAACCAATTTCGACTCACACACTCGCACAAGGCAGGCATGGCAAGAAGGTCCCGAGCTTGCTACATGTACATACCTACGTGTCCAAGGACTGGCTAACCCGAAATGCCCAGTAAAGAAGCCCCAGAGGAGTTCGCAACATAAAAGTAGAAAACTGGGCAAGAGGGTGTTCCCAGCTTGGACCGCAGACATCAGGCAGAAAACGGTCAATTGCGACCACATTCTGCCAAGCACGCAGCCAGTGGGTCCGCTGTTTCAAAATATTCTCACTGGAGTCTGTTGTTGGTTTAGTCGCGTTTCTTTCCACGCGCTATAGACATGTCCTCACTATCAACTCTGAACTATCTGCTTCTCACCGGGGTGATCCACTTCGTCGTGCTGTGGCATATAGTAGAGCAGGGAAAAACGTGTCATGCAGTATTGCACCGTCCAGCCGTGTACCGTAGACGAATCGCCATTCGTGGTCCGCATGCTGAAGTGTCCTCATCCTAACTACCAGGCATCAACGACAGCCAAAGACAGGAAGACTCGTCAAAGTCATTGACTGACCTCCAACCACTTACTGTGAATTCACCACCTTGGCTAAGCAAGCCTTGCATGCAATAAATTCCTCGCCTTCATGCCAAGTATTTCGCATGCAAAGCTGGTTTAGGGTTTGGGGCTCGTGGTGGGTAGTCGGTTGGCTGTGAAAGGAGAGCTGACATCAACTCATGAGCTGGCCGTGACCGCCTTAACTGCTGCTTCATTAATATGATTCTTATCTTCTGCTTAGTGTTACTGTTATTACATTCCTATTCTTAATATGAATCTTGTTCTGCTTATTGCTACTGTTAGTAAATTTGCATGATTAATATTATTGTTACTGTTATTATGTTCCGAGTTGGGTTTGGGGGTTTAGGCTCTCACATCTCGGACTTGCCAGATGAGGTCTCGCGTCGGGGCTATGCAGGGCAGAGCTCGAGGGCTGTACGCAGATCCTTGACTTTTCCGTCGGCCGTTAGAATCTATAGCCCCTCAAGAGCGTAGAGGCGTTAGGGGCCTGGATTCTTCTGATTAAGGCAGAGTAGGGTTTCAGGCTAAGTAGTCAGTCTTTGTTGCGTCCCATCTCACTGGGGCACTGGGTATCAAGGCCGTGCAGGGTGTAGCGAGCTTGCTGTAAGACCCAGTTGAGGGCTATGGTGTGTGAGAGCCAAATGAGCTCATCTACAGTACTATACAAGCGTCTAAACATACATGCACTCCGAGTGATAGCCCCAATGTCGCCCAGCCAAACAATCGGTCGTCAAAACTAGTCCCACACGCGGGGCACTACAAGCAAATGCGAAGCGAGGGAACCCTGCAAACCCGACTGAAAGCTGCATTTACGCCTACGCTCTCAGAAGATGACGGCGTGGCTGGGACGAAAAAGCTCTGGGATGTTGTGTGGCACTCGTTGCTCATCTTAAACTGTCTTACACATAGCTCGAGTGGCGCTGCCAAGACACTCATTTTATGCAAATGGTGCACTTGGATGTACAAACCTCAAGCCTGCCCCATCCTCACATCTCGCGCCAAGGGACCATACAGCCTTCGTATTCTTCGCTCTTCCTCGAACTCATGACGCACAGCTCATGAGGCAGATGCCGCTTAATTCGTGCAAGAAGGCCTTCCACATGAGGTTCCAACACTCAAGCCCTCACATCCTATGAACACCCCAAGCTCTTTTGCATCCAGTCCTATCAACCGCCGAAACCTAGCACCCCGGAGCCCCTGCACCCTGAAAAAAGACCTTGCTGAAATAGCTTTAGGCCGGCACGTCCATCGCCCCTGGCTTTCGAACGAAGAACACCAGCCACATGTTGCTTAGCTAGGCCCTGACATGCCCTGGCCTTCATGCACTTTCGATCGAGTTATCATCTTTTGCGGCTTGAAGGCTTTAGGACTTTAGGCTGTAGACATTCCTGGCTAGAACTTCTACAACAATATGACTGACCAGTATATATATATATATATATATATATTATGTATGTATATATATATGTATACGCATACGCATCGGCTGCCCAGCTTCTTCTTCAGAGCAGATCGGCAGCGGTTCAGGTCCGAACTCTGTAGTCTCAGCTCCTCAGAGGCTCAAACCCACCCTAGGAGAGAACTGGGAGTTTCAGAAAATTAGGGGTACCTTATTTTGGGGTCCTTATAATAAGGATCCTATTATTTATTATTTAGGGTACTATATTAGGGTCCCTATTTTGGGAAACCCCCAACTCGTTAGCATTGGCACTGCTAGTGACTATGACGGTGCTTCTATTCCAGCGATACTCATGGGGACCATGGTCGCAATGCTCATCAATGCTCATTCTGATCGACTTTATCTGTGTAAAACATTGAACTGGACTGCTATGGGTTGGCTTGCTGCAAGGCATCACTACTACCTTGACCATGACCAACATGCCACCATGATCAAAATAGTGACGAACTAAATGACCCTCATCAGTTCGTCACTATGCTCGCCGTGCTGCTGTGCCTGAGTGGCCCAAAATGAGGAATGCACTACGGAAGCCTAGTCGCCTGCCCGCACCTTGAAAGCACCTGATTCACGGCTTTACAACTGTAGTTGCGAACAGTGCAGGTCTGGCAATGCTGAGGTGAGCGGCTGACTAAACCTATGGTT